AGCCCGTCCCTGCCAGCCGGGCGCTGAACTCCGGCCCCCCCCGTGAATAGGGCGATTCATCCGGGGCGGGCGGCTGCGCGAATTATCAGCCAGGAGGGTTGGCAGGGCCGGCCGGCCGGGCAGGCCGAACTGAGAGCGATTGTGTCTCTGACACACCGCCGAAACCCCGCGGGGTCCGAGCCCCTCGCGTTCGCGCGTAAGCGGAGCCACGACACGCCGAAGGACTGACGCTGCTGGAGAAGAAAGAGGAGACTCAGACTTCAGCGGAGTCGTCCCCCCCCTCCTTCCAGCAATGACCTTTTATTCCTCCCCAGCAAAAGGCGAAAACACCCGATCTCTCGGCGAAAGCCACGTGTATTGGAGGGAAGCCACCAGACGCCATAAGCTACGGTCCCCAGGCGAGGTCCCCGGGAGCAGCGTGGCCGGCCGGACGCTGGAAAGCGCAGAGGGGAAGCGTTGCCGCTCTGCACCCAAATTTTTCTACATCCACCGCGTGAAGGGAATATTCATTTCTTACGTTTTCGGCTCTGCGGCTCCTCCCGGACCAGGAGAGCGGAGCAGGTCTCTTCCACCGGCTGGAGCTTTCCGAAAGCAGCCCCCAGGCCATGCCGCCCGCAGAGCTCACGAGGGCAGCCCGGGCAAAAGGCGGCTCCGAGACCCTCGTTAACCAACGCTGTCTATAACCATGGCTGCTCTGAGATGAGTAAAGCAGAACAAAAACGAACCCGGTGGATAAGTGTGTATTTTTAACCAAAAAGCCCCATTTCAATAGGTGCCCGTGCGCGGGTCATTACACTGTTGAAGTATGTTTCCAGACCACAACTTCCCCCACTCCCAACCCAAAAAACCCTTCAATTTTCACCGCGCGCCTGCCCTGGCAAACTCAACGTGAGAACGCCGGGCAAGGGGAAGGCCTTTTTCTCCTTAAACCATCACACCCTTCGCCTCTCGTAAGGGTGCTGGCTCTACGGGACTGTCCGGGATGAGAAATCGCGTGCGGCCGTCAGGAGGCATATCTAATATGATTAGTTTAAATAAACGGAGGGGAGAGGCGCAGAAGCAGCACGCCAAAGGCACTGCGGTATCCGAACCGAGCTCTTCGCAAGGCCGATTCAAACATACGTGGGGACTCTTTGTTTTTTTCCTTTTTTTTTTTTTTTAAACAAAAAAGCTTTACTTTAATGGAGCCGAAGGCAGTTTTACAGCGTTTCAGACTCACGGACCCGCCGGGATCAGAGGG